ATTTTTTTATATCAATTAATAGTAAAAATATTATTATTATTATTATTTTAAATATTTAAGATGTTAACATTGTTTTTTAATAATGTTTTAAAATTTAATATACTCTTGTTGAAAAGTAGTAATTAGTTTTTTATTTTTCGAAAGATATTAATACTTTTTTTCATCAAGGATGCATTAAATTGATCAAAAGTGACAGTAAAGACATTTATTATAATATAGAGCTCCTAACATTCATCAGTTCACTGAGACTCCATCTGCATTTCATCAGATCTGACACATGAATTGTAATACATTTTAAATGTATAACACATGTTTAAAATAGTGCTGTCAATCGATTAAAAAAATTAACCAATCGCACATAATAATGCAGCTCTTCTCATATGTCTTTGAGTCTCTTCATCTCATATTGAATCTTCAGACACAGATGATAACAGCAATATTACACTGCTCGTGGTTTCTGTGTTCGTTTTCTGGCCTGGTTTTGGGAGAAAATCTGAAAATCTTGATGAAATTCAGGAGGACATTTCTGAGAGCTGGTGCTTCTGCTCCTGAATGTCATTTGAGATTGTTTGTTTATGTGTTTGATTCCCATTACCCGTCTTTCCGTGTATTATTAATGCCGTCATGATGATGTGGTTTGCATTGATTGTCGATCGATGTGTGTGTGACTCATGCGCCGCTTCTTCCTGTTCCTCTCAGCACGCGGCTCCGTTCCAGGTAGCGTTGCAGGATGACCGCCGGATGCTGCTGTCGCTGGATGCTGATGATGTGAGGCCCGACGTGTCTGTGTATTCGGTGCGTGTTTCAGGAGAGCCGCACACGCACACGCTGCTGTTCACGCGACCCGCCGACAGTCAGACGCTGCCGCATCCGCTCCAGTTCAACGCCTCGTACCACGGCCTGTGCTACTCCATCAGTCTGATGCTCGGGAACGACAGCCGCGCATCCAGAGCCGTCAGAACCGTCCCTGTGCTCACCAGTAAGACATCTGCTACACATGTGTGAAAATAATGCATCAAAATATAAAACATTTACAATGAAAGAGATAACAAAAAACAAAATATATAAATTAGATAAAATAGGCAGTAGTCATTAATAAATCTAATTTAAACATTTATAAATAAAGAAATAAATTAATTAAAATAGGCAGTAGTAATTAATAAATCATATTAAAACATTTATAAATAAATTATTAAATAAAAATAAAAATAAATTAAATTAGGCAGTAGTAATTTATAAAAAACATGTATAAATGAATTAATAAATAAAATGAATGCACATTAAAATAGTCAGTAGTAAAAATAAAACATTTATAAATAAATTAATAAAAATAATAAATACATTAAAATAGGCATTAATAATAAATAAAAATTAAA